TTGGCATGGGCACAGGGTGGGACGCCCCGATGGCAGTGTGCTGGCTGCATACAGCCCGCTTTCCCCTCGGTTCCCTCCTGGGCACTCTGGTCCTACCTAACCAGGTGTCAGTCATAGGGGTTTTCCTGTGGTCAGGCCCCTGTTTCAGGCCCTCATTGTCCTCAGAGAGGAGGTGGTGCCAAGGGGCACTGTGTGCTTTTTGGGACTCTGCGGAGTAGGGAAAGTGAAACTTCCCAACTGGTCACTGCCACGATGGTTATTTTTGGTACCCCTGTCATTGCGATGGTGAAAGATGGCGTGGCTGGGACAGACAGAAGGTGGGAGGGACAGAGGGACAGACACAGCCCTGGCACTGTGGCCCACCCAGCCTGGCTGCGGGAAGCGCTGGCGTCACACTGGAGGAAGTGCCCATTCCCACCCAGCCTATTCCCGTCAGGGGTTGGATCCTTGTCCCTTCGCAGGGACTGTCCTGGGGTCACATCCCTGCTGTGTGTGGGGAGGTTGTGGGGGGCCCTGGCTCCTGTCTGGGGCTCAGTGTGGGCATCCCCAACTGACAGCACTGGCTGTGGTGGCCTGGCACTGGCTCCTGGCAATTCTGTTGTTTTCCAGGGTTTGGAGATCCTGCCTTCTTCCTCCTCCTGCTCCTCCTGCTCCTCCTCCAGGCACCCAGCCCAGCAGCTGGCCCTGGGCCCAGGCTGTCTGCTCTCGGCTCTTGGGGCTCTGCACGGGGGCCCGGCGCAGCCGGGGAGGGGAGCTCAGCCCTGGAGTGGGGGGGTCCTGGCTCTCCAGGGGCCATCCACCTCCCTCTGAGGTGATGCAGATGGCACTTGTCACTGTAAGCCCCTGGGAGGACTCTGGCATTCTGGAGCTGCTGTGTGACCCACTGGGCTGATGGGTGGGCGCACCCCGGAATGGAAGTGGGGCAGTGGGGTCTGCATGGGTGTGATCAGGGTGATGCTGTTTGGCCCCAGCATGTTGCTACCAGGAGCCAGAGACCAGCCCGGGCATGGTGCGTGGTGTACGCGCTCTGTACCCCCCGGCAATGGCAGGGTGGGCTCCAGCGGCCACAGAGGTCACGTCCCCCCTTGCTGTGGTGTCTTGAGTCAGCGCATCGCCATGCCCTGCCCGTGGCTGCCACTGACGCAGGCGCTGGGGACTCAGAGCACAGGAATGGGGTGGCCCTGTTTGGAGGACTGGGGACCTCCTGCACGTCTCATTGACCCACTGTTGTTGAGGTCAACTCACCCTTATTAATTAGATGCCTCTATTAAAGTGGGAGGGGGAGGTTTTCGGGCTCCACTGTCCCCTGTGTCCCTGCAGCTCCACTCGCCAGGGATACGTCTTGCCTGGGGAGGGGGACCTGAGCTAAGAACCCCCCCATCTTCTCTCCCCTCCAGGTGCCTGTGGGAGACGCAGGGAGCCGGCATGGCGCAGCCCAGTGCACCCCCTGCCTATGATGACAAGAACCCTCTGTACCCCCCACCTCCAGCCGGGTACCCCCAGCCCCCCCACTATGGGGGGTACCCCCAGCCTGGGGGCTACTACCCACAGCCTGGGGGATACCCCACAGCAGGGGGGTATGCACAACCAGGGGGGTACCCAGGGGCAGGGGCGTACCCCCAGCCGGGGATGGCCATGCCCACCATGCCTATGCGGTTTGGTAAGTGGGGGCATCTTGGGGTTCTTTGGGGGAGGAAGGGGGGCACTAGAAATAGGGATGCTGTGGGGGAGAGCTGCATGGCTGACCCTGATGCTGATGGTGTCCCTCACCGCAGGTGACAATGGCATGGGGGATGGCTCCCCATTCCAATCGGCCGACTGGGATGACAGGAAAGTCCGGCACACCTTCATCCGCAAGGCAAGTCCTACAGGGCTGGGGGCACCTGTTAGGGTGGGGGCCATGCGCTGACCCTCCCCTCTCTTGCAGGTCTATGCCATCATCTCCTTGCAGCTCCTGGTGACAGTGGGGATCATCGCCGTGTTCACCTTTGTGTGAGTGGAGGGTTCCTCCTTAGCCTTGACCTAAAGAGGGAGGGGTCCTGACCCTTTGTCCTCTGGGGGGTCCTGAGGAGACAATAGTTCCTGACCCCCCTTCCCTGACACTCGTCCCTCCTATCCCACAGCCACCCTGTCCGCTCCTTCGTCCAGAGGAACGTCGCCATCTACTATGCCTCATAGTGAGTAGGGGTCTGCTGCCTTATGCCCCCCATCCTGGGGTGATCTGCAGGAGCTGGCACCCCACAGTCACAGTCTCCAGCCCTGGGGGTCCTGGTGGGGGGATTGCAGAGTTGACACCCATTCTCTCTCTCTGCAGTGCTGTGTTCCTGGTGACCTACCTGGTGCTTGCCTGCTGCCAGGGTCCCCGGTGAGTTGATGGTGGCTGGGACCACTGCGATGACAGGGTGTGGATGTAGGAGCGGTTCTCCAGGGCATCAGGAGCAGGGTGTTTGCCTAGAGGGTGGGGAGCAGGGGGACACAACATGGCCACTGTCACCAGCTGACCTCCCTACCCTGGTTTCATCCGCAGGAGACGCTTTCCCTGGAACATCATCCTGCTGAGCATCTTTGTGAGTGGGATGGGGTTGGGGGGGGAGCTGGCGGTGCCCCCATGGCAACCCAGCTCCCCATGCCGGCTGGGGGGATAGGGGGATAGGCGGGGGCAGCCAGGAACTGCTGCACTCCATGGGGCTGCTCACCCCCTGAGCCCACCCTTCTCTCCTGCAGACGCTGGCCATGGGGCTGATGACGGGGACAATTGCCAGGTATGTCCTGGGCCCTGTGGTGACAGGAACTGGACTCCCTCTCGTCCTGCACGATGCAGCTGGCTCAAATGAGAGGCTGCTGGAAGCCAGGGGACACTTTGATCCCCTGGGGTTGGGGACAGCAGGGTCCCTGTCCAGGATCGGGGCTGGGAGGGTCACCAAAACCCCCTGGGAGGGGGACACCAAAGCTTGGGGTGACTCTGGTTGTCCCCTCCATTTGCAGCATGTACCGCACCAACGCTGTCCTGATCGCCATGCTCATCACCGCCATTGTGGCCATCATTGTCACCATCTTCTGCTTCCAGACCAAGGCAAGGAGGGGGATGTGCCCTGCCCTGGTGGGGGTCGGGCACAGGGAGCCAGGTGGTGGGGACACGTTGGGCTCTCCCATGACGTGCGTGTGTGTCTCCTTCCCTGTAAGGTTGATTTTACATCGTGTCCGGGTCTCTTCTGTGTGCTGGGCATCGTGGTCATGGTGACCGGGATCGTCACCGCCATCGTCCTCTCCTTCAAATATGTGAGTGGGGGGGCAGAGGGCCTGTGGGGTGCCGTGGGTGTCCCTGGTGGGGCATCTGCAGGGCTGGCAGAGGGGTTCGGGTGCCCCCCTTTGAGGGAAGCAGGGTGTGGTGCTGGCCATGGCACAGGCAGCTTGCCCGCAGGGAGAGGGTGGGTTGGCGTCAGCAGCAGCTCCTTGGATCCGGGTGCGGGCAGGACGTGCCCTGCCTTGCCCGCTGCCTGCCAGGCTCACCCTGCCCGTGTCCCCCTCCCCGCGCAGGTCCCCTGGCTCCACATGCTCTATGCAGCCATCGGCGCCATCGCCTTCACCCTGGTGAGTTGGTGGCTGGGGTGGCAGAGAGTGTCAGGCACGGACTTGGGGGGAAACCCTGCCTTGGAGCTTGCCTGACGCTCTCTTCCCCACCCCAGTTCCTTGCCTATGACACCCAACTTGTGCTGGGGAACAGGAAGAACACATTAAGCCCTGAGGAGTACATCTATGGTGCCCTCACCATCTACACCGACATCATCTACATCTTCACCTTCATCCTGCAGATCGTGGGCCGCGATTAGCCTGAGACCCCTCCTGTCCCGACCCTGCTGCCCCTCACCCCTTTCTCTGGCCTCTGTACAGGATATGGCCACTTACCACGACTCGTAACGCTTTGGCATCCCTACCCATAGACTGCTAAGGAAAGGGCTTCCCTTGACCCACCCCCACAAGCCTCCAAGGGTAGCGTGGGGGAACCAGCTGCCTGTGTTTAGGCAGTGCCCAACCTCAGCACTGCTTGCTGAGGCCATGCTGGCGGTGCCGGGCTGGTAGCAGAGTGCCACGGTCCTGCCTGGGCTCAGGGAGCTCGCAGCAGCACTGGGACTGTGTTGGGATGTTTCTGGGAGAGTCCGGTCAGTGTCATTCACTTGGTGCCTTAAACGCGGCTCAGGCCATGTCCCATTCCTGAGCTGCGGCAGTGCCCGGTGCGGGCAGGATGGGGAACCCTGTGTGGTACTCGTGGCAGAGCTCGTGTTCCCAAGGCCCTGCAGCTGTGGCCGTGGACGAAGTTGCACTTGCTAAATAAAACACTTTAATTTTGCAGACTGTCCCAGTCTCACTGCGGTGGCAACTGCCCTGGAACCCCATAGGCAGCCTCCATGGGGGCTGCGGCCCCGGGCAGCGCAAACCCTGCTTTGGGATGGACAAACCAAGGTCAAGCTGCCCATGGCTGGCCTCCCTCCCTGGCCTGTACTCCTCCACCTGGCTGCAGAGCAGCTGGGTTCCTCCCCCAGAGCAGGGGAGCAGGCAGGACTGGGACTGAGTACTGAGGCAGTGACTGCAGTGGCACCGAGCTGTTCCACTCATGAGGGATGATGTTTATTTGTCCCTATCCAGCCCCACAACCACCCCATGGGCTACACAGGGAGTGCAAGTGCCAGTGCTGTGTGTCCTGTGGGGCTGGTGTCCCCTTGACCAGTCCCTTTGGGGTGCCAGGCTTGGGGTGGGGGCAGCCTGGCTATGCCCCCCTGGCCACCCTCTTGTATCGCTCTGACTCGTACTCGCCCCGGGTGGCTTCTACCATCTTTTGGCGGATTTTGAGCTGCTCCAGGCGGTTTTTGTCCACTTCCCGCTTCACCAGGAGGAAGAGGATGATGCCAGAGGGCAATCCGATGGCCCTGCAGGACAGACAGGGGGCAGAGGATGCAAGAGAGCTGGTGGGAAACAATTGCCCTGTGCCACTCTGGGGCGCACGGACACCTCCCAGCTCAGCTCTCCAGGCCCCCATGACTCCTTGTGTCCACCCCCAGGCCCTGCAGAGCAGCAGTCTCCTGGTGCCGAGCTTCTCCTGCCACCCGAGCCACTCACCAGGCCACCCCCACCGGCTTCATCGGGTTCTTGCCCTTCTTGCGGGTGGGAATGTACTCCACCCCCTCGGGGAGCCCGCCACGGCCAGGCTCCGGGCCGGACTGTGGCCCCGCTGGCCGGTGGCAGCTCTGCCTGAGGAGCCGTGTGCCAGGAGGGGACAGGCAAAACCGGGGCCGGGCACTACGCGCTGCTGGTCCTGCTGCCAAGAGCAGCCCTGCGGGGAGAGAGGGGTTAGGGACAGGCGACCATGGGGCAGCGTGGGGCGCCCAGCCTGAGCCCTACCCCTGCCCCGCCCAACCCCGGCGGCAGGGGGCGCTAGAGGGCGGGGCCTAGACAAAGGGGCGCGGCTCTACGGCCTCCGGCTGGCGGAGCGGGCCCGGGGCCGCGCCCCTCCGCCCGCCGTTACCGCGCAGCGTGCCGAGCGCCGCCGCCATGGCGATCCGTGCAGGTGCGCGGCAGCCCCGGGGCATGCCGGGAGCTGCAGTCCGCCGAGCGGGGGTGCCGTGCACAGGCGCTGACAGGACTGCGCGCGGAAACTACATCTCCCAGAGGGCACCGCGCGGGGCGGGCTCTGCCCAGCGCTGCTGGCGGAAGGGGCGGGGTCCGGGTGAGGACGCTGCCGGGTTGGCTGAGACGGCGGGGCGGCCGGCGGGGATTGGCCAGGGCGGGCCGAGCGGCGGAAGTGGCGGCGGCGGGGCGGGGCGCGCGGGCAGACCGGCATGGAGCCCGCCGAGGGGCCGGGGGTGGTGGACTTCCACGGCGATGAGGAGATCATCGAGGTGGTGGAGTTGGGCCCGCCCGGTCCGGGTGAGACGGGGACCCCGCGCCTCGCACCGGGCAGCGCCTCCAGCCTGGGCAGCGGGCCCGCTCTGGCCCCGCACCAGCGCCAGGCCAGGCCCTGCCCGGCCGCGGCGCCCGGCCTGTTCCGTTCCCCCTCCGATCCCCCGGGGCCTTCGGCCTCTCCCCGCGTCGCGCCCCGCTGCTGTGCGGCTCTTTCGCTCCGGGTCTCCTGGCCGCGGTGGCGTTGTGGTGGCGCGGGCCCCAAGGACTCCCCAGCACACCCAGTGCCCTGCGGTGGCCGATCCGGGCAGGCCGCAAGCCGAGCCCTGACCTCTGCCCCCTCCAGATGACCTGGCCGACGAGATGGAGGACGTGGATTTTGACGAGGCGGGAGAAGAGGCCGATGCCGAGACGTGGGAGACGGAGGACGAGGAGGGCGGGGGGGACAGCATGGAGCCGCAGGATGACAGCGAGGTCACGTTCTCCCTGCACTCGGGTGAGTGCGCGGCACGGGCAGTGGCCGCCGGGGTCTCCTTCGGGACCTGCTCCCACAGGCTGACGTTCACCGGGTTGAGGGGGGTGCAGGTTAAGGTCCTTGAACACCACTGGTTCCTGGCTGTGCCTGGGATGGCCATCAGAACTCGGGGCTGCCTCGGGCTGTGCTCGTTTATACCTTACACTCTGGCAGAGAAGCCCTTTGAGCCCCTTACCATGGCAGCGCACCCTGAGCTCTGCAGAGAGCGCGTGATGCGCTTCCTCCATGGGAAGCGATTCCCACTGGTTTGGTTGGGAGTTCAGCTGGCTGTGTGGTTTGGATCCCCTGGAATGCCGAGTGCGGTGTGAGCAGTGTCCGAGCTGTGTGGACTCTTTACTTTTCTGTGAAGCTTCTGTTTTCTGCGTGAGCCTTGACCCTAAGACCAACACGCTGGCAGTGACGGGTGGGGAGGACGACAAGGCCTTTGTGTGGCGCGTGAGTGATGGAGAGCTCCTGTTCGAATGCACAGGTGAGGTGCTCGAGGGTTGTTCAAGCCCTGTCACTCCCTGGCCATGCTCATCCCCAGCCAGTGCTCTGCTGGAGCCAGTCTCCTGACTGTCCTCCGTGGCTCTGCCTGAGCAGTCTCTCCCCCAATGCCTCCAGGGCACAAGGACTCAGTCACCTGTGCTGGCTTCAGTCATGACTCTGTGTTTGTTGCCACTGGTGACATGTCTGGGCTTATCAAAGTATGGCGGGTGGAAGCCAAGGAAGAAGTGTGGTCCTTTGAAGTGGGGGACTTGGAGGTGAGTGGTAGGATTCCTGGTGCTATGGGAAGCCCATGAGCCAGCATGGGTGGTGGTGGGGACACGCAACCCTCATGATGCTGCCTGTTCTCTCTGCCCAGTGGATGGAGTGGCACCCTCAAGCCCACGTCCTTCTGGCAGGCACAGCGGATGGCAACTCCTGGATGTGGAAAATCCCCAGCGGAGACTGCAAAACCTTCCAGGGCCCTGCGTGCCCAGCCACATGTGGCAGGATCCTGCCTGACGGTGAGGCATGGAGGCTGTCCAGGGTGGGGAATGTCACCAGCACTGTGACAGATCCTGCTGCCACCTCTGTCCTCCTTTTTCTGCCAGTCTGTGCTGAGGGATGAGTGGGGCTCTTGTTCTATCTGCTGGTCTTGTCTTACCCAGGGAAGAGAGCAGTGGTGGGATACGAGGATGGGACCATGCGCATCTGGGACCTGAAGCAGGGAACCTCACTGCATGTCCTGAAAGGTACAGAAGAGCTTAATCACCTGGGGTGCTCCCTATTTGGGGAACATCCCCTTCCAGTGGGCTCTTGAGCTCTGCACAGGTGGGAAGATGGCACATTCCAGGGCCAGGGAGGGAGACTGGTTTCCCCCTCCCTGCGGGTGCTGGCAGAGCTGGGGCAGGTGGAGGCTGCAGGAAGGGTTTTGAGGCCCACCCGATCTCCATGGGGAGGACATGTGGAGCTCATAGCTGTCCTGCTCACCCCCAGGCCAGGATGGCCATCAGGACCCCTTGACGTGCTTGGCCAGCAATCAGGACGGCAGTTTGATCCTGACGGGCTCCGTGGACTGCAACGCCAAGCTGGTCAGCTGCGCCACGGGCAAGGTGGGTGCCCGCGCAGGCGGAGCCAGGAGCCGCCGGGGACCAGCCTGGGTGTGCGGGCGGTTCACAGCTCTGCCGGCCCCGAGCGGCCCGTGGTGGTCCCCGGCAGCCAACAGGAGGCGACCGCGGCCAAGACAGCCGCGGTGGGGCTCAGGGCCGGTCCCGCGGGGCTCGGAGCTGGAGCAGGTTCCCCCCCTTGTTTGCTCCGAGGAGCTGAGGTTTTGGGCTGGATCCCGAAGGGGACCTCGATGCGGCGGGGGTCCCTTCCCCTCCCTCAGACACTCTCCAGCCTCCCTCCACGCAGGTGGTGTGCGTGTTCAAGATGGAAAGCACGGCCCCCAAGGCCCCTGGTGGTGAGAGCGAAGAGGCAGAGTCCAACTCGGTGGAGTCCCTGGGCTTCTGTAATGTGTGAGTGTGGGGACAGCCCCTCTTCAGTGTGGGATCTTACAGGGGGTGTTTCCATCCCTTGCACTTGCTCTGCTACGTTTCTCATCTCCATCCTCCCCAGCTGGCTGTGGAGAGCCTGGGTCACTTGGGTGTGACACAGAGGACAAGAGACACCATATGATCAGTCCTCCCTACAACCCGGTGGGTTTCTGAGATAGCCTGATGGGCCACTGTTGGGCCAGGATAGCCTCCAGACTTGGCTGCTGGGGATCTTTCCTACCAGGACAGTGTCTTCTGTCTTGTGAACCTCAGGCTGGTTACTGACTGTCTCTGTCCTGTTGTGTTTCCTGATCAGGTTGTCCCTCACCTTGATACGCAAGGGTTTGCCTTCAACCTTGACGTGCTTCCATCTCTGCTTCCCCCAGGCCCATGTAATGCCTGTTCCCCTTTCTGCAGGATGCCGTTGGCTGCTGTGGGGTACCTGGATGGCACGCTGGCTATCTATGATCTCTCGACACAGAGCTTGAGGCATAAGTGCCAACACGAGGTACTGCCCTACCACCCCCTCCCTTTACCTGGGGGGTACTCTTTGGGCCCAGCCAAGACCTCCCTTGGAGCCCAGGGCCTTTCCTGGGGCCAGTTCCCAATTCATGCTTCTCCCTCAGCCCCTTGGGCTTCCCCAGAGGCAGTCACAGTCCCGGCACAGAGGATGTGCCCCAGAGCCTGGCCCTGGGGGCTGGCCCTCCTATGCAGACAGCACTAGGGGAACCCATGGGGGGAGCTGAGCCTTGCTGGGGTCCCGAGTCCTCACCCTGTGGCCTCCCCCTGCCATAGTCGGGGATTGTGCAGTTGCTGTGGGAGGAGAGCTCGGCCGTGGTGTACACCTGCAGCCTGGACGGGGCTGTGCGGCTCTGGGATGCGCGCTCAGGGAAGATGATCAGCGAGTACCGAGGGCACTC